AAGAAATATATTTTAAGAAAAAATATATAAATATAAACAGGTTTTCAGAGGTTAACGGAGTAGGTGCCCAAAAAAAATCATTAGTCTTTCTACTCAATATTAGAATAACTTAGATTAAGTAATAGCCTATTTGTTTTCTTGCCTCCTAATTTAGACAAATTTATTACAAGAATAACGCATTACGACAGCAAAGAAAATATTGTAAAGTTTAAATTTGTTTAAGGTTTAACGTTTTTATACAAATCGAAGTATAGTAAAGTATAGTATATTCAGAAGCCAGCAAGTTGAAGTACTCAAACAACTTATAAGGTGATTATTTCCTTTTCTGGCAAAATAATGTATCATCGAAGGGTAGCAAGATGACAAACTTAAGTAAAATAAAAAAATACTACCAATTGAAAAATCTCCTTCAAGAATTAGAAAGAAAAGAGCTGATAACGTTCTAGACCAGGAAAAGGAGTCGACTAGATAGGTGTCTTGAAAATAAATGCCAACCGAGATATTTTGACGTATTTTAGTTCCTCTCGGTACATCATGAAAATATAAATGGCTTTTTGCAAACACTGTGCAACGGACTAGACATAAAAAAAACACATACTCGTATATTATACACCTGACCCTATGATTTAATGAATTTCGATAAGCCTACATTTTATTGTTTATTTTGAAAAAAAAAGCAACGATTATAAACAGTTTTTTGCACGTTGTTACAAAACAAAATAACCAATTGGAACGCACGTTGCAACTTTCACAGTGTACATTTCTTCGTAAAAAGTTCAGGAAAATTTAGAGAGGAACCAAAATACGTCGAAATACTCAAAAAAACGTCAACCATGATGGTTGGCATTTTTTTGAGGCTCTCCCTTTCCTGGTCTAGTTCTAGTCTAAGAAAAAAAACTAAGGGCACCATTAATCAAATCAGAATCATTTATTTGAATTAAACTCATTATAAGCATTTTTTAATTGTCACTAATATTGGTTAGTCAGACCAAGTCAATTGTGAACAACAGGCAAAAAACTCAAAGGACACTCCTTTTTTTCAACATATTTTTTACAAGTTTTGTGCTTAAAATGTAACAGATTGTTCTAAAAGTACTAACTGCAGATTTACTACAAAATTTAAGATATAGCACTCCAAAGATAACCAGCCCTGACCAACGGAACGCTAGAAATCGTTTAAAGGAAAAGAAAAAAGGTGAACTTGACCCGACACAAACATCACCAACCCTAGGACTTCGAGGCAAGCCTACTTAGAAATAACACGCAACATAGAAAATTAACTATTTGGTTAATTTTCAAGTATTAAGTTTCTGTAAGTAAATATAAAGTTCTTACATGTTTAATCCACGCACACACATTTACACGATAACTCACAACATAAAAAAACGCATCAGGAGTTAAAAACGTTAATCACATATGTAGTTATAGTTTATTTCTAATTCAATTTTCATAATATATATTTAATTTGAATATGTCTAGCTATACTTTGCTAATTATAGTATCATAATATGATGTAACTGGGTCATAATATATTATATAATCAAAAATAAATAAAAGAATGGCGTGGTTTTTTTTATAAATTCGAAATACAAAAAGAGTTTAGAAACCGTAGTAAAACACGACTTTAAAATATTGTACCAACAAACGGCAGTTTATAGTAAAAATATTAAAAATAATAAATCAACTTAAGTAAAAAACGCATGGTTTTCACAACAATGTTTTACTTCTTATTTAATTAAATGACTGTTCTCAAGTGCGTCATAAATTCAAAATGAACGTCTGTATTTAGCAGGCATTAAAAATATAAGGCTATCACGCTGTATAGTCTTTTTGCACCGTGTACTTACCCCATGATTTGTAATAGGACTTGTTTTGTAGAAGGACATTGTAAAAACTACAACCTAAAGCAATTCACGACTAAACGACTAAATATATATATTTAGTTTTTTTATAGTAGATTATTACAATTCGTAGTAGTAGTAGCACAATGAAAAACATTTTTTTTGTACGTGTTAAAACCAGTTTTTATTAAGACAGCAGGGCCATTCTAATCCTGTCAAAAGTGCGGGCACCAGCGTGAAAAACTCTCATTAAGGTAACATTCAGGCACACGCTGACGGCACCTCCTGGTGGTTTAGTTACCGATCGGAATAATACGTAACATGTAACAATGGATTACAACCAATGTTATCTAACTATTTATAATTTTTTTGACATTATCGGTGCCTACATCTATAAATTACTACGTGAGGCGATTTTTTTGTACGCATTTTTAAGCAAACTGCCACAGACAAGAATGTGAAATTTTATATGTACAAGTGCAAAAGTTTAGTTTTTATACGATATGTGTTATGAAATTGCTTTAACGAAGACATAAATGTAAAGAGGTTTACTACATATTCAACGTAAGTCTACGCAATGACAATTTCCGAATTTACTAGTTAATGAAATAAATTGGATTAATTAATGATTAAGTTTCTAAAAGCAGTAAAATACACGTGTACACAGTAAGGTACATCATTAATAAGGTAGTAAAATTATAAAACGTACAGAAATGTACTTTATTTATAAAATTATTTAAAAAGTTTAAAGTATGAGAAGGTCACTATTCAAAGTAATTAAAAAACAATCTAAAATATTAGCAAGAACTTGATCAAAAATTTGTTTGCTCTTGCCTTACTGTCACGTGAACTTAACTATCCTTAAAATATAAATAAATTTAATAAATACTTGTAGAACCCGGTTTTGGTCTTTTTGATGAATAAATATGTGAATAATTATGCTCACATATTTCAACGATCCCACAGTTCTAGTTTTTACGAATTTGAAATAGGCAATGCGTAACATGCCTTTCACGAATTCCTCAAATTTATAACATTACGTTAACAGTTGATTGGCAGTCGGTAATCGAACCTAGTTCTTAATCGTTTGCGGTGAAGATTAAAGGCTGTAATTTTATAGGCTGATAGATCAACACTCACGAAGTTTACCTCCACATACTTAATAAGCTTATTTTACGGGCAGTTATAATTATGTTTTATGAATCTATACCAACTATATTAATCTATAGTATATTTTAATCTATATTATATATAAAAATGTAAATCTGGTTTTTTTACGCTTCAAGAACTCAAAAAGCTCTGCACCTATTGAGCTTAAATTTTGACACGATATACGCTTCATAGATGGTTTTCATATATTTTTCATTTTGTTTTGTTCCTTCAAACGCAAACTCAAAATATCTTTATTTTGTAAAAAAATATTTGAAATCTGATGATTATTTGAACGACTTTGGAGTCAACATAAGAGACCTAAATTGACTTTAAAGTCATAGATCAACACGCACAATAGTAACAATATCTGTTTTGTCAAATATTGTGCCTGTCTATTATATACATACCTGTGTCGATCTGCAACCGTCCGTTTCCAAGGGGATGAGCCTTATGAGAAGAAAGGGCAAACAAACTCACGGCTCAGTGCTCACGGCAAGTGGTTGACATGCTCAGATATTTATAATCCAATAATTAGAATTTTACCTAGTTACCATTTCTTAATTCTCTTCTGCAAGTGATAGATCTACTTATTATCATCATTATCAATTGAAAGGGCGATTTACGGGAATAAACAGTGCATGTATGCAGTGACAGATCCGAAAATTGATAACTTCGTGATGTGGTATACTATTTCATGAAATGTTTGTATTTCACGTTCTTTCTAGTTAAAGCGGACTATATCATTTAAACGTAAACTTACATTTAATTAAAAGTTTACGTTTAAATGATATAGTCCGTAAACTTTTAATTAAATGTAAGTTTACGTTTAAATTTATTGGTAATGTGTAGCTATCAGTCACATTAAGCGTTTAATAAAAATTCTGAATAAACATGGAACTTAATATTGCTCATCCTCACGGGAACCCTAAATTTTTCTGTCTATGCGTTAATTCAGGGTGTCAGCCACCTCCATACCAAATTTTATCAAATTGGTCCAGTCTTTTGAGCGTACGTTACGTAGCGTTAACAAACATACAAACACACACACTCACAAACTTTCGCCTTTATAACATTAGTGTGATAGAAAGAAATTTATAAATGCATTAGGAATTCCTGATAATACATCTAATGAGTATTGCCTACAACTTATTGATGATTAAGGTAACATTATTAAATTGAAGGGCTAACCACAAATAGATAGGGCACGCAAATAGACATGTAGATGCTTACTCTAAGACGTCATCGTGTTTACGGTGGAAGGATATGACAAGGCATAAAATATTATCTCTTGGTTATGACAATTTTAACTTAGTCACGTGCTTTTAAGTCATGCTAGCATTACTATAGCGTTTCTAAATCATCATCATCATATCAGACGAAAGACGTCTACTGCTGGACCTAGGCCTCTCCGAGGTTTTCCACAACAACCGGTCCTGCACTGCCCTTTTCTATGAAATTTCTATCAAATAAATTTAAAATTTTAATGGTTTTAAGTTAGAGTTGAAATTCAGTTCGGTGCTATAACTTTATAGTCAGATTTTAATAACTTCGAACAAATAACCTCCAATAGCTAAATTAAAATTAATTATAATAACATAGACTAACGTAATCAATGAATACTCATTTATATTGTTCTTAGGAAGTAAACAGGTTTTATATTTAAAAAAATGTTTACTGTAAGACTCACCGACTTCAATAGGGATGACATCTGTTGTCAGCTGGACGTCAACTGACACTTCATACGTGTCGACCTCCAGTTTTTCTGCACTAATTTGCGACAAATAAACACACGTCAAACTCCCTGACGTGTCATCGCTATCACGATCCCGCCGCAAGTTTGTCACTCACACTGATCACAGAACTATTTAGAACAATTTGATTTGCTGATAAAAAAAGACACTGTTTTTTTGCCTGTGAGCCGCCACTGTAACAATTTTTATTTCCTCTTCCGCTGACCAGTCAATTGTTTAGGACGATAAGCTATGTACGTTCGTCGATGTCGTTCGATTAATCGATTTCAATCGATTCTATCGATGATCTAAAACCAAAATTAATGAGTTTTATTTATATTCGATAATTTCAGTAATAATATGTATATTTTCTGTAGTGGCAGTGCTCCGTTGGTTTAAAACTCAATGGTATCTAATAATTTTACAAGCTTAATATATATAATTACTATTTTATATGAGGATTTAATAATATGCTTAAGAAGTCGGTGATTATTATTTACTTATTTCTATTATTTGTCTTTTTATAATAAAATTAAGTAACTTCATACCTATGAACAATTCATACGTCATATGTCAAGGTTCGTTAGTGGCTTTATATTTAAGTATTTTAAATGACTAAATATTTGCCGGTTAACTAGTTTATTTGTAATATACAAGAATAATATAGTTAAATATTTATTACATGCAATAAAATCTATTTTATTATTATTTGTCTGTTTCGTTACTTGATTTAAATTAATGTGTAGTTCATTTTATGTAGATATAAAAATAATAAATAATAATAAATAATTGTCGATTTTAAAATATTGCGGTAGGTACATGGGTAAAAAGTTTATACTTGGTAAAATTACTAATATGCTACAATTATAATGTGTGCGGTTCTGATCTCTTAACTAGGTTACTTTATAACCTGTGTGAAGGAGTGACAGCTCCAATCCCCCCATGGATTACGCTAGATTATGTAATATTTTCATTTGTGTACATTTTTATTTTACTGCTACTTAAAAATGGTATAATTTATTAAGAGTAAATAAAAAATAAAAGAAAGAAATATAGAAGGGTAAATCTATACTAGACGAGCTTTTCCCCGTGACTCCACCCGCGTGTATGTCGTGGTAAAAAGTAGCCTATGTCCTTCCTTCCTATGGCTAAGCCTTCCTATGGTCGTGAAAGCGTAACAAACAGACACGAGTTACTTTTGCATCTGTAATATTAGTTGGGATTAATGTTATCTACCTTGTATGAAATACTTTTACAAATAGCTTTAAAACAATGTTACAATTGTTCTTAAGTAATTATTCAAATGTTATTTTACGAGTATATCATCATATATTAAATTGATTTTATTTCATTAAGGATTCTTCCTGCCTTTCCCAATGCGCACCTAACATCGCAAACGTGTGCCTTAATCATGTAACTTTAAACTGTATTGTTTATTTTGATAACTTAAGGTTTGGGACTTGAATAATACTGGATATATAAACTAAGCTTCAAAATAAATACAGTATTATAGTCTGTTTTGGCGAATTGGCGAACATTTGTAGATACATAGAATCTTCTCGCTTTTGGAAATCGATTAAAACTACAGGTATACAAAATTTACTTGTATTATTTGCTATCGTCTACGAGTCATAAAAATAAATCTACAGTATAGAATTTTTTGGTATGTTTGTAAATTACAAATTACGCGATCGTCGCGTAAACCTTACATCTAAATATCCTTCATGAAACCGTGAACGTATTCTCATTAAAAATCTTCATGCTGCTTTATTTGAATAAGAATGTTTAAACAAAATTTAATAAAATACATGCCTCGAAATACTTAAAGTCATTTATTTCAACACTATCTAAGCTCAGTTGACATAGCAAGACGTGTGAAGAAAACCAACGTTCAAATGTACACAACTAAACAACATTACTTATCTTAGATACGCCAGTGTTAGAGTTTTTGTCACATGCTATTTGCATTATATAATTATTTATCTTGTTCAGTACACGGCGAAAGAACTAAAGTGACACTTTTAGTCATAAACAATACAATTTGCACCTATGTGTACCTACAGTCACCGTCAGTCACACGGTAAAAAAATCTCAACGCAAAATATCAAACTTCGAATGACAATACATATTAGTAATAGACTTAATGCGTTCGTTTTTTAAATTTTACAATATAATTATCTTTGTTATTTTTTAAATCTCGATACGATGATAAATTTTATATTATATATTAAGTTGAAAATACTAATGTTGCCACTTTAAAAAAATAACTTGTCTTTCCAATCACGTGCATCTAACTTAAATTATGATTTTTCTTGTCTTGTGAATCAATCATGACATGGAAATCAGAACATTTATTATTTTCAGTGGAATAGAAGACTACCAGTAACTGAAAACAGTTTAATACCTAAAAATAATTTTATGTTTAAAGTCGCTTTAAAAATGTCAACGACGATATTGAACATACTGCAATAAGTTAACTAACCCACATTGTCAATGGACTGCAATTATTTTATCGTTTTCAAGTGTTTTAACCATTATGATATCTAAATGATTATATTATGTACCTGTGTTTATTAAAGCTTGTTTATAAAATGAATAACGTTATAACTATTTCAGAAACGTCGTTTACTAATTATGTGGTTCAGAAATCGTTCTAATTGCAAAATACGGATGGGTTATTTCCACAATGACCCCCGAACAATCATTAACTACCAATGAGCGCGTTTTTGCACTCAGAGCGGACGCATCAAAACACACGTGACAGACGTAAATCGCGCGCTGTCACCTTACCCTTTAAACATTAGAAAAAAAAACTTGACCAAAAACTAAGTAACAATTTCATACATGCGTTCATTTAAAGTATTCTAATTGCCATAATAACATCATAAAGAAGGCGCAATTAGTTACACCGATAACTATTTCCTATGTACCTACGGAATGAAAAACAGGCACATTCAACATGACAAAATGTACTTGAATACTTATATATGTCTACTAATCTTCACTCATTTTGCGCTCCTGGAGCGTCGTACCAAGCCTAACGTCTAGAATCACCATAACAATGATTCTAAAACAATAAAATGCAGATAACAAATGAAGTTTTCCGGGTAAATAGTACTCGTACAAAAGTATAAATATTCATCAAGCTGTGTAGCTAATTGAAGGGAGCACTGCCACTGAAACAACATTATCACACAAACTTACATCGAGATTTTAGCCGTCAATGTCAAGTGCATTCGCAGCACTAAGTTACATGTCACTTTCAATTGTATGCGGAGATAAGTGCATCTTGCTCGAACAATAAAAGTAAAGGAACACGCGATAAGGCTTAACGTACGATCGTGGTCTGTGCCTTTGGTGCACGGAGCGCGTGCGACGCCGACGATGTTCGACGCACGAATGCCGCCAAACGACTTCACTTGACCATTGTTTACTTCGATAATTACATTTTCATTTCGATCGAGTTTACGGGTCGAAGGCTTTGCAGGCGGAAAATCTCGGCACGATACGTCATTACCTGAGTTAGTTGATGATTTGACGACAGATTAAAGAACAAGAAAACTGAATGAAACAGCCGCCATTATACGTTTTCGGTGTTCATTTGTTTATGAGTGGGAACTCAAAGGGCTTATCATGTTGTTGATTGTTATATTTCTGTGTTCTGCTTTTCTGTTTTGAAAATAGTATTGATACTACGGTTAATTTGTTGCAGCTGTAATAATATTATACAAGGTTTACTGATTTATAAAATATTCACTCAAATAAAAGTAAATTATTAAATGTGTGTGAAAGAATTAACAATGAGTAAAAATATTTTGAGTACGTATTATGTATAAAATGTGTATCTTCCTATTATTTTTAAATTCAAAATAAAATTAATAATGCATTTTGTATGTATGCATTTAAATATTTTATTAAATTTTATTTACTATGTTTTAAACTTTGAGAAATGGAAGAGAAGACATTTTATTGTGCAGAGGTACTGTGCATTGTATGCACATGTATTGTACATATTAAGTCAGGCAGAATACTTTTTTTTTTAATCTAAATTATTATAAGATATTGACAGAGGCCTTCAGTCTTTCTTCCCCTTTTTGTTTCATTGGCGGGTCTATTAGTCTAGTGGTTAGTGACACTGACTGCTAAGGCAGAGGTCGTGGGTTCGATTCCCACCTAGGACAAATATTTGTGTGATGGGCACTATCGTATGTTCTGTCTGGGTACATGCATCTACGAGGAAAATAAGTATATATTTAGAAAAATATAAGTACGTTTATTTTATTTTGCAATTTTAGGGAAACTTACAGCTAGAAACACAACCATAAAAAAAAGAATAACATCGTGAGGGCCGATTATCAGCAATCTGTTTATCTTAGCACAGACGGCCGTGTGTGAGATATTTATATGTAAACGTGAGGTACTTAAATATAAATATTGTATGAAATTCTTAACTAGTCATTTTTCCTTTTATTTTCTTTTATGTGATTTCTATTGAAGCCTTTTTTTGTAATAGACTTTTAAGTCTAATACAAAAAAAAGGCTTCAATACGAACTAATCTAATATAAGGACTACAAAAACAAAATTGGTGAGTGCAAAAGGTTTAGGTACTCACTTTTTCTTTTTGTTAGCATAATTGCTATTATGCTAACAAGCGAGTAAACATGCATGCATCTTTGGGGATGTAAAAACAAACCGTCACTGAGGAGGGTTTCTCATTTGATTGTTATTTTGCACTTCCCTTGCGCTTACTACGTAGAAAAGAGCTACATTTTCTTTCACATAAACTCAAATTGACACAACATATCAATTCTTATTCACGCTTATTTTTAGACGTATTGTTTTTGTTCAATAAAATAAAATTCGTATAAAAAACAACCTACATTTATTTTGCCCGAGAAAAAGTCCTTGAGACGTGTCATAGATATTATTATCGTGTCATTCTCCTGTTGTTGATATCGATATACATTTTGATGTGACAGTAAAAAAAGAAAACAAATTTTAGGTACTTAGATTGAGACAAGGAAAACAAACTGTAAATAATTTTACAGACGAGTCAAACCCGGACTGACTGATAATTTACTGTCCTTAATGTATGTCAAATCAACTTGTTAAGAAAAAGTCGACAAAAATATGTTTGTCCCTTCAATGACATTACATTTTTTTTTAAACCTATATTAATCTTATAATCACTACCTACGTTTGATTTTCATGATAGTTTCAAATGAAACTTTTTAATTGCACTTAAACACGTAGGTAACCGAATCGTGACATACCTCGGCAGAAATGATAAGTCAGATGATAAACTCTAATGATAAAAGGAACTTAAACATACAATTTATTAACATTTAAAAATATAAAATTACCAAAGATCGACTCGATATCTTGAGGACAACATTTGGTACAAAAATATAGGATTGCATGTTGTTATTTATGCAAAATAAATAATATAAGCCAAAATTATCTTAAATCCTCCCCAGATGAATAAGACGTACACACATTTATTTTGTTACAATGCCAAGTAATAAATAAAAAATACAAAAACATAAGGTTAGTAACTTATTATTGCTAATGATAATGACAAGCGACTACTGTTAAAATGAATGCTTAAGGGATAAATAAGTTAATGGTTTTCACTAAAAATAAACCGAAATATTAGGCTGAAGTAAATGAACATCGATTATACGCCCGGACGCTGCTTACTCACTAATTATTAAAAAAATGCATACACACATCATGATTATCATCAACAGCCTTTAGCAGGTGTCGTAAGAGTCGACTAATTGAGCAAACTACGCAGGACAAGAGCACGCAAAGAGAATGAAAACTTGAAACACACCCTAAGTATACCAATCCGTCTGGCCAGCGTGGTATACAAAACCCCCTCTCTAAGGACAAGCCTATTGCCAGCCCTGAACTATTAAAGGCTTTTGATGATGATGATGACGCAAATCAAAATCGCCGACCTATTGCCGAGTACATTTTTTTTAAAGTCCACTTACGTAACGGTGTGCAAGTTTATTGCCATAAACCGGGCATTTGAAGAGTTTGAAGGAAATTTGTGAGAATAAAGAAAGAAAATCCCAAATCTCTTTTTTCATAATCATCCCGATTAGGGAAAAAGAGATATGGGAAGTGTTAGTAATAGCTCGAGTAGAGGCCCTAGTGCGAGTTTATTTTACATCTATTATATCGTCACGGTGTTCGTGTTCGGCGCTGCGATTGGCCCGCGTTGAACTCTTCACCAATCACTACAACGAAGGCGCTCACTATCGATAGCGAGTCGATATGTAATAAACATGCACTAGGCCTGAGGTCGATCATAAGCTGGAGCCTTTATACCAATAAATATAAGTTAGTAATCTGCATTTCTAATAACTACTGTAGCTGTGCGTGTGCAGAAAAGGCTCGCATCTACTGTATGGAAGAGATTATTAAAACTTCTCGCACTTCTCAATTATCTCATTTTCCTACATACATACTGTAGCCCACAAAGAATCTATTTTATTTGAATACTAGCTTTTGAAAGAAAGAGAGAGAAAGAAGGAAAGTAAAAGAATTTTTAAAATCGTTATAGTGGTTTAGGCGTGAAAGCGTAACAAACAAACAACAAATAAACTCACTTTCACATTTAAAATATAAGTATAAATGGATTACGTTACTTGAATTTGTGTGACTTCTCGTTTTTAATCTTAAAATAAATAAGGTAAATGTACTATTTCACCTATTTTTGTTTGTAAATAAAAATTCATGTGCGTATTTTATTAGAATGTTTTTTTTTTTTAATTTTTTTTGTTCGTTGTTAAGTTCAGGAAATCTCGGCATCCATTTTAAAATAGATGTTGTTATAGTGTTATTATAATTTGAAAATGAATTTAGAAAGAAAAATAGAATGATAATGTAATAATATCCTTTTTTAATTTATTTTACGAAAACAAGCCTAAAATCAATCAATCAAGCGTTTATTAATATTTGAACACATAATACATAGTCATGTAACATCTAAGGTGTCGTTGGATGCAAAGTAGATCATGTTCGGCTGATTAAGGCATGCTAAATTAGTCTTTTAGTAATATATTTTACATTTAGTAATTATACATTATAATTAAAAGTATAATTAATTTTAGTAAAAGATATTTAACTAATGATCTTAAATCGTTAATGAATATTTAAGTACTTTATTTATAAATCTGCATGTTGCCCGCATGTTGTGGAGAGCCTTATGGGTATGGTTATGTCCAGCAGTGGACGTCTTTCAGCCCAGATGATGATAATTTGCATGTTTAAACTTTTATTGACCTAAATCTAACTAATAATTAAAATAAATCGAATTACAAAAAAAGTCATTCCGCTAGTACATAATATGTATTTTGCGAGACTAATCTGTTTAAAAATTTGGAATTCCAATTACATTCAAAAACAATTCAAAAGAATTCCAGTGATGAAAATGTACCTAGCTATTGCGAATTTAGCTTAAAACAAATTAAATTAATTATTTAAATTTCAGTTCGCATTTATTAGAAACATATAAATATAAAAACAGACATACCTACGTAAAATCATCACCATCAAATAACCTGGATAAATGGCGCTCTATTACTGTGCGCTTTTCGAGACACTTTTTACCTCGCACAACCAATCTGTGGAACAGGTTATCGTCTGCGGTATTTAAAAACCGATACGACCTTCAAGAAAAGAGCCTACTCCTTCCTAAATGGCCGTCAACACGTTTGTGACTCCTGATTTGTAGACATTCATGGGCGTAATGGTTGTTTTCCCATCAGGTGACCCGTCTGCTCATCTGCCGCTTCCAACAAAAATAAAAAATAATAGTGTGAGTCCATTTTTGGCGATTTAAATAAAATTAAATGCACGAATATAACTATTCCCTATGTCAGATCAATTTTTAGGCATCAAGAACTATGAGAAGTTATTTTCTGATATGCAACCGTTTCTCTTACCCACAGTTTACGATCACAGACAGTGCGCTCTAAAGCTATTTGTGATTGATTGAGAGTTTCGACTGTCGCACTGTTTATAATTTCAACATCGAAAAAGCAATACTTGGGTTTTAAATGCCTTAAATTTATAAACAATAAATTAATCAACAGTAAACACAAAAACTCACGAAATATCGTACTATTAATGACTTAAGGGTCGTTAACCTCACATGATCATGTGGGAACATTAATCTTATAATGATTGTCATGTGCTTTAGCTGCACTTTAGTTAAATGTTCTAGGACTAATACCCCCATTTTTGCATGTTGTTAAGTATGTCATGACTCATGATTCAATAAGGTAAATGAATTAGAAATGATATTGCCAAATATACACAATGCATTCCAATTTAACAAAACAAGATATATTCGCATGTCACTTAACATATTTAATCCTATTATATTATGATACATTGACTACCTCAGCCCATCCAATTAAGTATCAATAAATTCATAAGTCGATTAATTGATAAACTAATCTAACTAATGATAGTTATTCTGTGATGAATTTTTGTGAGGTTCGCTTAAGACTTTTGATCCGACTTAACGAACACTTAACTTAAATTCTTTGAAAAAGCGTCATAAGTCGTGACTCCCGAATTGTAGAAGGCATTGCTGACCTGTAATTTTATTATTTTATTCGCTTCTAATTTAAACTGGTGCTTTTAAATTTTTAAAGTAATTACTACTTTAAGCGAAAATTGAGGCTAAGATGTTCGGGGAATTGTATTGCTGATAATTAGGATAATCACTAGCTTACTTTACATGTTTAGTAGCTATCTTCTCTGAGAAGAGGTATTCAAATTCGTAGGATTGGCTTACAGGTAAGTTGTTTTAGTACTGAATCATTTACTTCAAAAAAAGTATTACTGTCTTCAATGCACACAGATCACAATGAAATGTAATAAACTGTATATGTACTTCTGAAACTGAAAACTTTTTTTAAGTCGATTAAAAAGTAAGTTACAAGGTTTCGATTTCAGTTTATGCACACTTAATCAGCGTGTACTACCTATTTCTATTTGATGTACATATGTAGTTCTACAGAACTACAAAGTTACAGCAAAGATCATCACGTAACTTTCTAATGACACCACGCATAGTTATTCCAGTCAGAACGTGACAGCAATGGCTTTCAAGAGAAGTTTTTTTATCTCTTCCGGCAAGATTATGTAACCTCCAAGTGCTCACTTCAAGGATAACGAGTGACGATAATCTTGAATATATGAACATAGAGGCATCTTTCTCTTGAAATAAATTCTGCTCTATCTGCTTCCGCTGACCTTATATGCAATACTTATCAGTTGTGAAATGGGATTACGACGGGCATAATTATATAATAAATATGGAGAGGCTAATATTGATAATCGATAAACAGTCTTCTATTTAGGTCTACCTGACACAAACCATATACCAACCCGTCTGGCCAGCGTTGCATAGTATGCCAAAACCTTCTTTCTTAGGAAAAGCGTATGTCCAGCAGAGAACTATTAAAAGCTGTTGATGTGATGTGATGTGATTCAGGTCTTATTTATACCATGATCGGACTTGGAATTCCTATAATAGAAAAATTAAGAAGGCATACGTTTGAAATTTTATCCTTTAATGGTAATAAATAATAATAATAACTAGATACATATCACACACGTCTGATTATGGTAACCAGACTTCTGATAAACATACTTACTTAAGGCCTTGTTATAGTTCCAAATAAAAGAAGAAAGAATGATCCTGTGTATGACACAGTTATTTGCCCTATGTTCTGGATATAAAAGTGGCAGGTTAATTAAAAGAAATCTTTTTCTAAACATTTCTTTTAATATCCTATCCTATCATTCAATACTAATATGCTTAACTTCAGGTAGTGTTTTGTTCAAGAACTGTTTTAATCCGCAAAAAATTAACAACAACAAAACTTAAAAATAAATTTGTTCTATTAATGATTTTTTAAATAAATCATATTTTAATTACTACATTCAAAGGCTTTTTTAGTAAAACTAGAAACAAAGACCGGTTTATTATGCTGTTGTTTCAATGCAATTTATGTACCGCTAGATTGCTCATTGTGGTAAGTAGAAATAAGACAGCATACGTTTTATTTTTATGCACAGTGATAAGTTCTACTCTACGACTATCATGATCTTATAAATTAGGTAAGAAAAGAATATCCAACAACTATCCGATATCCAGTCTTTTAGTTACTATCCAGATAATTGGCAAATAGTGTGAATACTTTATTATTATTAGCATGTTTATTAGCAGTCTGGTTACCATAGTATAGGCTCTGGCTAGTTTGAGATCAGCTTCGTGTCTGAAATGTGTGAAGTCATTATTATTATTTTAAACAAAAAAATAGTAATGATCTCAAAAGTCGCAACTGAGTTACTGTCCTTTCAGCCTCTCCCCAGAATCCAGCGAGGGAGCTTTTGGGGTCCGGTAATCTCGCAAGCAACGAAAGAATTGCTTTACATAGGTTTTGGCATCACTCCGTTCGAGCTAGGGATGGAATAAAATCACAATCACATGTGATAATTCAAATGATTTATAAATCATATCATCACACTTGTGACTGATTTACAAAACCACTGCGACTTAATTATTATTATTACGCTAACGCAAGACTCGCCAAGGGTCTTGTTCTAAAAAAAAGGTCGATATCTTTGATAAAAATAATTTTGGCTGATTTTATGGTATTTTTCGTTGCTCAACAACGACGAGCGAGAAGAGGACGACGACGAAGAAGAGGACGACGTCACAATCACATGTGACTAAAAACAAATAATTTCTTCAAATGAATATGACTTAAAAGTAGCAATAATTTCCACGTCTACTTCGAGCCGACCCATTTGTGCCAAAACAAGGCTCTCCCACTGTAGAAACACATTCTTCCGAATGGTGATTAAGTTTAATAAATCGAATTTGTTGGTATAGTGGTTAGTGACCCTGATTGCTAAGCCGGAGGTCGTGGGTTCGATTTCCATACAAGACAAATATCGTGTGATGACAACGGTCATTTGTTCTGTGTCTGGGTGTACTTTATCTATAATATGTGTGTATTTAAAAATATATAAGTATCATCAGTATAGCAATTTATAGTTAACAGCAGCCTAGTTACCATAGCACAGGCTCTGCCTAGTTTGGGATCAGAGGGCCGTGTGTGAGATGTGAGTGATGTTTTAGGTATATATATATATATATATATATATATATAATTATAAATCTATGGGGCACGATCTTCGTCTTGAAATCATGCCTTATGAATAAATTATCTTATCATTTTCTTGACATAAAAGTTTTCCGTAACAGTCACGTTTTATTGCCTACCGTGTCTTGCTGCATCGTTGACTCCTTTAAACACTTCCATCCGTTTATCCATCACTGTTACATCTTTTTTTGCATTAGATATTTGCATGTAATTTAATTATCAATTATTCTTTGTTTACTCCGTAGTCGGTATCTCTCACGATAATGTTAAAATGATTGTATTATATTCGGTCACTGTGAGTAAAGTACGTGCTGATTATAGTGTAATATAAACTTAGGTAATATGTGAGTGTGTTGAATGAGTAATTGTATTAAGTTATTCGTCTTAAAATCAACTCGTTTATAAAATTGTGCCCCCAAAATGATACTGCTAAAACAGATCTTTTCATAGAGTTATTATAAAAAAAGAAACAAAAATGTGTAGAATTAAACCTCCTGTTTCTTAAATCGGTTGGAAGTGTAGATTATTCAATTATATTTAACTCATATTTGTTAATGACTTAGTTTATTTAATGTCACAAATAAAAAAAATAAAAAATTATTGAAATCTCACGTTTAAGTAACAATTTAATCAACAGTGTTAAGTGACCTGTACTTATTTAAATTATCATAATATATAACGCGAATAATAATTGTGTGATTCTGCGTAATCGTGTTCTGTAAAATCAGTTCTGCCTTATGATAATTGAGGTAGAATCTTGTTGTAAATGTATAAAAATATTTTCTTCTACGCTATAACTACCACCTAAAGAAGAACTAAAGAAGAAGAAAAGAACTAAATACTTATAAGAAAAAAATACTTATAAGAAAAGAACTAAATACTTATATGCTAGTTGAGTTCCTATTCTCGGAACTCAACTGCTAGTTGAGTTCCTATTCTCGGAACTCAACTAGCATATTAGTATTTAGTTCTGCTTTCAGTTTTGGTTATAAACAGTAAAGGATCATGTGACCGAACTGTTATCAGGATCTGATAGGTATTTGCAAATATCTGCAAATCGTATGTTAAAACTTTTATTAGCACGATTTAAAAATGCATTCTATTTACATGAGATTAATTAAATGGTAAGTAATGCTAGAACTTTCCACTCACTCACACCTGGTATTAGTCTAGCATCCTTGCTTTCTCCAATATTTTTCATTAAATATAATGAAGTGGTAGGCCATGTTCTGGGCCTCTTCGAGCACTTGTTGTTTCAGTCAATTTTTTCATAAGACACAGGTACCAGTCGGTGTACTTTACGTTTTTCTGACCCCAATTAACTTTTTGGTTGATCCGTCGGATCGGATTAAGAATACGGAGTGTCACCACCCCTATCTATCCCAGAGCCGACTAATGAAGCAAACTACACAGGACAACAGCACTGCAAAGTGAAGGAAAACTTGAAACAAACCCAATCTACCCAACGTATAGTAGGACAAAATTTCTTTTCTAAGGATAGATCTATGTCCAGCAGTGGACTGTTATAGGCTTTTGGTGATGACGAATTTACATTTTGCTTTTTGTTCCGTCTGAAAATGATAATATTCCCAAGGATGGATTGCGTCAGTGCTACACGTCGGTATGGGTATGAATCTTTCCTGTTCAAAACCTAACTAGAACAAATGTTAACTTTCATGCCTTGGTGCCACGGCTGGTCTTTAAATATTTGCAAATAAGCACACGCCTCACCCGTCGATCCCTCTGTTATCAGTATCCAATCTTAATTCATAAAGAGAACACTTTGTACTCTTTTTGAAGCATCATTTTTCTACTAGAGGAATGAAATAATTAGAATATCTACATTTGTATATTTAAGCAATTCGTAAAGGTAAAGCATGTTCAAAATGATTACCACTACATGTGTATAGTAATACGTGTAGACTTTAGTCCTAATCATTTTCATGTTCAAGTCAATCTATATACTAATAGATGGACTTATGTTACGGAAACTGTATTCCGTTGAAAACTTAAGGAGCTATGGCCTACCTACCTCTTAAAAGTTGCAAAGCCAACTGTGTTTAATCCAATTGCTTAACAACTATCCATAGATACTGATTACTAGACTTGTAGGACTTGTAAAGCGCTCAAAACTTTTGTATCCTCTTTGCCAACATATTCAATTTTACACATAGAATTTAGGTATAGAATACAATTGCCGAGTGTTTCATTATATGTCTGTAATATATTATTTCATTGCTCGTAAGCCTTTGTAATACGAACTTACAACATAAACAATTGTGAACATTAACTCACCGTTACAAACTTCTTCAATAAACGGCCTTTAAAACTTAGGTATTTCTTTTGCATAAAAATACCAACTAAAATATTGTACAATGTCGTATTATAGCTACAATAAACTAGAAGTGTCAATGATCTTGAACATATTTAACGTACTACTTGGCATTTTACTGTTATAATGAGAATGGTAATTGGCTTGTTCGGGAATTACTATATCTATTATAATTATTTTTGTTATTTTTGTATACATATAACTATTTGTTTAACATGAGAATAAAAGTAAACAAGCTTATTATAAAAAAAAACCGACTGCTTAAAAAAGAAATTTTATTATTTTCATATTTCTAGTGTGACACTCACAATTAAGTCCACCGTTGTCAACACCTTTCATGCGAAAATATATCAAACCGTTTCGAATAAGTATAGAGAAATATACATACATAAATTGACTGCACAGATGGCGTGGTGCTTTAACGGGTCGCCACGCCGCTTCCTACTGCGTTGAGTGCTGTGGGTTCACGTGGGGACACCACTTTGTGTGATCTACAAACTGTTGTTTTGAGTCTGGGTTCTCTTTTTGTCCGTTTCGATTTATGTTTGTAAACAGGGTAACAGGATATATATTCCTAATGCGTAAGTTGTCTATTTTTTAAATAAATTGAAAAATTAAATTACGTTCACATGACAATCATAAACATTAATAAGTTACGGTATGTTACTCACGACTATATCAACGAAGCGGTGGGCAGAAGTGTATAAACCACCCATATTTTGCAAACTATAATACCACTCAATCAGGCTCTTTAGCAATTAAAGTTAAAATGAAAATGTGAAGCATATTGTAAAATAAATTTACTTTAGAAAGGTCAGCAAATGAAGGAAAAGTTTGAGCAGATCAAGTTCACATACTGTAACTGTTTTGCCGGTGAATCTGATTGTCTTTGAGCTCCATGACATTTTGAACTGTTTTATACCATTCTAAAATCAATATCTATAACATGGTATTTTTATTGCATTTTCCTGAATTGTCACTGTACAACTTTCGAGATTTGAATCAAGCACTCAAATCAATAATTAATGTAAACTCCATATTTCAGGAATTTTGATTTTAACACTAGAAAATGTGATATAATACGAACAAATGTGGAATGTATAACTTTCATTTCATAACTGTTTGTTTGTAAATAGTAACACTTCATTAAACTATGAAATAACTTTAAAAATATGGGTTTCACAACACGTTTAATACGAGTATAGTTTTAAAGAGAAGAACGATTACCTAAAGCGAGAACAAATTGTTCTGCTTTTCACCGCTAGATGTAGTTACTTGTTAGACGTGTATTTTAAAAAACACGAGTTATAATGATGTGTGTGATAAGGTTGGCATGTGACTTCTTAGTTTGATAAACCCATTTTTTATTTAAAATCTTACTACGACTTTGTTTGACTTGTAATTTATGTATTACAAACCGCAGAATTACTTAACTGTAAACAATAACAGTTTCCTATGTATTAAACTCTCATTAAAGTAACGTATTCCGTGTTAATCTTCATTTTTAAATAACATATGAATTAGTCGTAGCGGTCACACGCGGTCAACGTCGAAATAGACACTCTTGTGTTGATATGATATCTAATCACATGGTTGATTCTCAGATCACCAGTAACGTCTTCTAAATGACTGTATACTGAAAGTATATAGGTGGCTGTAGGTTAGGTTCTCCTGGAGTCATTCTAAATAAATATATTTAATATAAGCTTTTGCGAGCAGCTTCTCCCGCGTGTATGCCGGTTATGGCGGTAAAAAGTAGCGGATGTCCTTCCCTACGACCCAAACGATCTCTGTACCAAATGTTATCTAAATTGGTTCAGCGGTTGTTGATTTCCCAAACAAACTTCCACCCCCTTAAAGGATGATTTCTGGGATTTAAACTATCCTATGTCCTTTTTCGGGACTCAAAATATCTCTATACTAAATTTCATCTAAATCTGTTCAGCTATTTGAACGTGAAGAGGTAACAGACAGACAGACAGACACACTTCCGCATTTATAATATTAGTATGAATATAGATTTAAGATTTGTTTTTAATTGACCGCTAGATGGCGTTAACCTCGTTTCGTAAAACGAATGATAAAATGTTTCGTAAAATGGTAATAATTAATTACTGTACTGCAATGTAGTTAACAAAAAATATCTTAAACTTAGTAACCTATTTATTAAGAAATAAATCGTACCCCCTATCTTCACGTAATGCAGCAGTAAGTAAAAAATACTTACAATAAAAAAAGTCTATGATAAAAAAAAACTAGCAGGCGACAGTTGTGATAATAGGTATATTTGCGATAATCTTGCATGCTGTGCGGCACAAATGCGTGAGCTCGACCGGCTTACGGAAAACCGCTGGTAAGCAATTTTCGTTGCTTTTCACCGAGTGAGGCTATCAGAGCCCTCCCCTCTGAGTCTGGGGGGAAGGGGGAGGGCTAGGACTTAGTTACATGTGTCTATGGACGGCGGTAGTCACTTAATTTCAGGTGACCCGTCTACGCGTTTGCCCCCTTTAACATAGAAAAACCCTAAAAACTTACTATATGATTAACAGCCCAATCATCTGTAACGCCAAGCATACCTGAAAATAAACAAAGATATTAGATATAAGTATCAAATACCACATTTTAGTACATTTGATTTCATTAACGTTCAATTCTCATGCACTCAAAGTAACCGATCAGGTTTTGACTTTGGTGATACAAAAATATTTACTTTAATCTTTTAGCATTGGAGATATTGCTTGATAAATCGTGGGACACGACTCGGTCGTCGTTTTGTTTACTATACCTGCCCTCTAGTCATGAAGTCATTGCCAAACTTATGATAATGAATTGTCATCAT